CAATAAAATATAATGATTATAAATTTTAATACTTATTATATATATATATATATTAATTTATATTATATATGTGTAAAATTGTAAATTTTTGTATACATATATGTTATTTATTTTATTATCTCTATTGTATTTAATTTTTTCATTAATTACTTTTAAATTTAATTATATGTTATACATTTTGTTAATCAAGTGAATCAATGACAATTTACTAAAAATATTTTAAAGTATATCTTACTAAAAAAATATATTTAAAACAAGAGAGTCATATAATATATAATATTCATATTTTTAAAAGATAAAAATTTAATTTATAATATGTTTAAATATATAAAAGAAAGATAGTATAATAGTTACATCTCTCAATAAACAATAATCTTGCTTTGGGCATGGGATGTATCTTAAGTAGTGAGATTGACCCTCAATCCCTTCTCTATTTCTTGTATTGCATGAAGGAGATTTTTCCAATTAATTTCATTGTGTTTTTTTTTTTTAATATCTTCCATATGATTCTTTATTGTTCTATTTGATAATAGATAGTATGTGTTACTGTATGACATTTTTTATAATGTAATTAAAAATTTAAAATAAAAAGTTAGATGAATATTATTCATTTAAATACTAAAAAAAATTAAATATGGGCAAATTTCTCCCTTTTTAAAACATACATTATTTCAAATTTAATTATTTAACTCAGATAAATTTATAGCTATTAGGAATAAATAGAACGCGAATAAAAAACACCAATAAAAAAACAAGATAAATTTCTTAAAGGTACGGGCAAATTTTTCCAATGGTTGCACCAAATAAAGTGTTACATGTGCCTATTTTTTAATGTGTGTTTGCATTTTTGATAATTTTCTTTTGGTTCTTTTTTTTTTTTTTTTTTAATTCTTGTTGTAACTTTTTTAACACACACTTTTCTTTCTTTTACTTTACATCCTCACTTGAGAAGTCTCAACATATTCTCCCAATATTTAACAAAAAATGAATTTGAATTTTAAATCTAAGTACTTAGTGAAATTTGATTAGTACTAGGAATTTTATAACACTTTTGACTCAAAAACTTCCACTCAAGTTTTGATGATTTCAAATTCAAATTTCAAACACATAAGTTCAACACGTTATATCAATTTGAATTCAAAATTGTCAAGAATCAAGGAGTTAGTTTCACACAAGATTCATGCACATGGAATATGCCTATGATCTAAAGGCATACATGATTAAATGACATTCAAATTGAAATCAAATTTGTTGCACATACACTATCAAGTCTCGGTCACTTCATTCATCATGCTACACATATTTAGTTTTTGGATTTTAGATTTCAAAATTAAAAGCACACTACAAGGAATCAATTGACAATACTATACATACTTTAGACAAAATATATGGATTCAAAAATTAAAATGAATCAAAATCACATGTCAACCACGGATCTAATTATCAAATTTGCAGCCACACAAAATTTAACAAAAAATTGACTCTTAAGATAGCTCTAAGAATCCTAAGGCACTACAAGAATGGTTAAATATGAACATGCATAACATTGAACCATAAACATCAATACAATTATCGAATATATAGAATCAATGCAATTAAGGTAGATCCAAATGGTTCATACTCAACACAAACAAGGGTTATTGAACATGATCGAATAAAATTTTGAAGTAAAAAGGTTTAAAAGTATCTTAGATGGAAGTGGAACTAGCCTCTAATACTAAATGATGGAAGAATCGTCCACTTATATAAGCCAAAGCAAACTTGCTAGTGAAGCTAAAGCCAACCATGGTTATGAAACCTAACTAGGCCAGTTTAGCTTAACCATCGGTGACTAGATTTGAATTCATATTCATCATTGCATTTGAATTGGTGCACCAATATCTAAATGAAGGTGAGATGAATTTGGCATCAAGTGGAAGCTGCACATGGGACCACTCATGCATTAGGAATGAATAGTGAGCTTGGGATTAGCTAAAACAATGTGTATGAAAAACTCCTATGCAACCTAGTAAAAATCAGAACCAATAAAGCCACCAAGCCCAATTAAACATGCTTAATGAAGCCCAATCTCATGCAAGCTAGAACCTAAGGCTAGGATGTAACGCCATGGAAATATCGACCTATTTAGTAGATATACATTATGTATCCATATATATGTATACATATATATATATATGTATATGTGTATATATATATATATGTGTGTATGTTGTTTATATGGATTGGATTGGATTAGATTTTGGAGGTGTGGATTTGAAATGTACTTATCTTTGTGCATGTTGTATAATTATGTGGTTTTGATTAGTTGTTTGGACATGGTAGTGATTTTGTAGTATGAGATGAGATATTGTTGTTTTGAGGTGTTTATATAGGCATGTGTATTATGAATGTGGTGAATGGTGCATTGTACACCATTATACTGAATTGGTACTAAGAGGGAAGAAGACTAATCACCTTCCTTCTCATCTTAGTTAAGTGAAGTATTATGGCATGCAACACATTATTCCAAGAATATGTATATGAATGTGATGTTTTTTTACATGTTAATACATGCTACATTTTATACAGTGGTGAGTTGTGAGTATTGCATGGAAAGGAATAGAATGGGTAGTGTTAGAAAAGAATGGCTCAATCCAAGAGGGGGAGTGAATTGGATTCTATGACACTTTAAAAAATTATTAGAGTTTTTAGGATCTTTATTTCAATTCAAACTTTTCTAAAACTGAATTTTCAAAGAAGTTTCTTAAAGACTTGTTAATGAAGAATGAATCCTATATGCTTTCTTGATTAATCAATAATGAGATTCAAAGTTAAGAACAATATGTAATACTTTGATTTAGTTCAAACCAATGTTGCTCATGCAAACATGTTAATCAAGAACAATCTTTTCAATATACAACCAAGATATTACACAAAGTAAAAGATAAGGGTAAGAGAAGATTGCACAAGTCTTTTATCCTGGTTCAGCCACTCCACATGTGACCTACATCCAGTCCTCAATCATAACCTGATCAAGATTTGTTCCACTATCTTAATGAAGAAGGTTTACAAGCATACCACACATGCATACACTCCTACATTCAAGATAATCACTTTCTTGACCTCAAGAAAGCACCCCTTGTAGAAACCCACTACAATAATTTCTTACCACTTGAGAAACCTACTCAAGATTTACAAGTATTCACAAAGAATTAAGGAACGAATTCACCTAGAATTCAGAAGCAAATCTTAATCTCTTTCCTTTCAAGAATGTGATGATGATGATGATCTTTTCTCAAAGCTTTTCAAAAACGTTTTTCTTCTTGGTTTCACAAAGAAAACTCTCCAGGAATGTCACAAAGACTTCACAAACACGTTTTTCTAATTTTGATTCTCAATTCTATCTCTGTTCTGAAGTTTTAAAATGGTCAAACTATTTATAGGTTTTTCAGAACCAGATAATCAATTATTTTAAAGAATAATCGATTATTTTGTTCTTCATGATTTCTGGAAATCAACCAAGAACAATTTAATCGATTATTTTGTTGGATAATCGATTATTCCAGAGAGTCATTTCTGGGATAATCGATTATTTCACAAATAATCGATTATTGCAGCAAGGTATCCTTTTTACCTGTTGCTGGAATAATCGATTATATTTAATGATAATCGATTATTTTGAGTTAGAT